GGGGGGCAGGCAGAAAAAATTCAAATCACAATTGCACTTTCAGGCGCCCTCATCCGTGTCATGTCTTCTGAGGAGGGCAGGGCGCCGCTATGCAACACTAAGCGAGATCCACCGAATACGATTATGAATCCACATTCTATTCTGATTCAACCAAGTGAGTTCGCTGACTCATCCTCTATACATTTTCACAGTTTATTCCCCTTTTTCAGGAACAAAAACCAATGAGTTTCTTGTTGTGCTGAAATCGATATCTTTGAAAGGATTTTTCCGGCTTTGGGGCACTTTTATTGGACAATTTCCATTCGCTTTTCTCATATCGGGTCTTATTTTATGTTCTTTATCATGTAAGTTTTCCGCTTTTTGGCCTATCTTTTGGCCAGTCGCCAAGTCCTCTGGCTAATTGCCCAAATTTAGGCGGGATTGTAAAGCTTCATTTACGGGACAATGTTCGAGATGGTTATACACCTCGTACATCACGGTCTCGGTTAGAGACCGATCTTTACCGAGAATTTCTTGGGTCTCAAGGTTTGTCCAATTTTGGAATCATCAATTAGAAACCAATTTTGAAATTTTTTAGGAGACCCCGCCATGACTACGGTATTAATGCTGGCCAAAGATAATGGTTCCATGCATCGGTTGAATTATCTGCAGGTACGCAATCGCACCATCTTTCAAACCAGTACCTTCCTAAAATTTTCTCTGTAGGAAGCCGTGCAAACCATGGTGCATATCTCGAAGAATCTCTCCGCTACCGTATCTGACGGGAGTACGGTCAGCTACGGTAACTTTTGCGGGCATTACTGTGATTCAAATGTGGTTGTGGGATATTTTCTCGTAAGTCAAATTTCCTTTTCCATTCTAGATCTTCCTATCTCAGCATTTTCTTTCAGCAATCACTCATTCAAAAAACCTTGAACCCGGGATCGATGTCATTACAACTAACCTATCCCATTGCTGATCTTCGGGGCATTAAATTGCATTTGGAGCGCAATTTCTATGGCGTAAAGACTACAAACAACTACAATATCACAAATATTGAATACGTCAAGGTAAACACTGACATGTCGTTGAGAAGTAGCGATAATTTTCCGAAAAAACACATTTTACAGCTCATCTCCATGTCGTTTATGGCCGAAATGAAAACAGCAGCAGATACGGAACGATTGGGAGCTTGGGAATTAGCCTTATTTGATTATTGCTCGAATTATACCTCAAACAATGATAATATGCTAGAATTACTGGTGGGTGTTATGAA